ATGTGGGTCAGGGAGGGGGGGTCAGTGTGTTGTGGTCAGGGAGGGGGGGTCAGTGTGTTGTGGTCAGGGAGGGGGGGTCAGTTATACTGTGGCCTGTTGTTCTTTATGTTGTTGACTAACGTCCTGGTCGGTGCTCAGTATTAACCCTGCTCACCCTGCACTCCTGCACTCTGAGGTGACTGGGCTCTGATGTTTTCTGTTTGGGGGGGGTTAAAGGTCAGTCTGTTTACCTGTGTGTACCTCAGTGTTGACCCTACCTGTGCTGCCGAGCTGCTGCTTGTGTCCACCCCTCTATACGTCTGTCTGTGTGTCTTTTCTCTTCCACTTCCCCGCCCTTACACCTCCAGTTTCAGCCGTTTGTTCAGCTCGTCGGGCGGAGCGGCCAAGAAGCCGGCGGTGGAGGCGCCGGTCAACGTCAAGTACAACGCCCCCACCTCTCAGGTGCAGCCGTCCGTCAAGAAGAAGAGCAGCACCCTGCAGCAGCTGCCCAGCGACAAGGGCAAGGCCTTCGACTTCCTCAACGAGGAGTAAGTCACTGAGGGGGAGGGGCTACATGGGTCATGTGACACTGAAGCACCAATGATTGTTTCTGCTGCAGTGACTCAAAAACAAAGTCACTCATCAGCTGTTTAAGGCGTCAGATTCTCATCACATCATCAGGTAAACATGACAGGTGTGCAGGTGAGCACATGACAGCAGGAAGTTCAAACTGTGTTGAGCTGAGAGAAACGTGCTGACAGGTGAGAGTCAGGGTTGTTTAAGTGAAACTACTGGAGGAAATGTTTTATTTTTTACTTTACCTGTGCACCAACACACGCCCCCTCCAAGCCATCTTTAAAATCAACTGTATTGAGTTTTGTGTGAAGCCCGAGCTTCTGTAGAACACACGTGTTCATCGCCATCGCGCTGTGGTTGCGTCCCTCAGAGTGGCGGCTGACAACGTGGTGTCCAGACGAGAGCAGAAGAGAGCGCAGTACCAGCAGGTCAAAGCCCACGTCCAGAAGGAGGACGGCAGAGTCCAGGCCTACGGCTGGAGTCTGCCCAAGAAGTTCAAGGTGAGGTCGTGAGCGCCGCACCTGCACTACACCTCCACCCGTGGATCAGTCTGCTGATGATGTAACAAGTGTCTCTGTGTTTTGACTGTTCAGGCCAACGGAGGTCAGTCGGAGAGTAAGATGAAGAACCTGCCTGTTCCGGTCTTCCTCCGACCTCTGGACGAGAAAGACGCTTCTATGAAGGTGATTCTGCTCCTCTGAGTTACTGCACTCACATTCAGTCAGTGATGCTCCTCAGCAGGAGATCAGCTGTGTGTGGTTGTGACTGTGTGTGGTTGTGACTGTGTGTGGTTGTGACTGTGTGTGGTTGTGACTATGTGTGGTTGTGTGTGTCTCAGCTGTGGTGTGCTGCTGGTGTGAATCTCTCTGGAGGGAAAACCAGAGACGGAGGTCTGATCGTCGGGGCCAGTGTGTTTTACAGTGACGTACCTGGACCTGAGAGCCCCAAGAAGAAGACCGGGTCCCAGAGCAGTCTGGACAAACTGGATCAGGACCTCAAGGTAAATGCACGCACGCACGCACGCACGCACACACACACACACACACACACACACACACACACCTCCTTCAGTTAACAGACCTCCTCCGTGTCGTCCAGGAGCAGCAGCAGGAGCTGCGGCAGCAGGATGAATTCTCATCTCTGGTCTGGATCTGCACCAGCACCCAGTCCACCACCAAGGTCGTGGTCATCGACGCCAACCAGCCTGGAAACATCCTGGAGAGCTTCTTTGTGTGTAACTCCCACGTCCTCTGCATCACCAGCGTACCAGGTGAGTGGATGTGGTCATCGCAGGTCATGTGATCACGTGACCTGCGGGTGGGTCGGTGACCTCAGATCTCCGTGTCTGTCTTTGTTCAGGAGCCAGAGAGACGGACTACCCCGCTGGCGAGGAGGTTCCTCCGGCCTCTGAGGCAGGACCGGTGGGGGAGGGCAGCTCCTCTGCGGCCGGCAGCAGCTCGGCGGGGGGAGACAGCGTGCTGGGGGGCATCACTGTGGTGGGCTGTGAAGCGGAGGGAACGGCAGCTGTTCCTCAGACCGCAGACGGTTCAGGAACAGACGGAGAACCAGGTGAGACGCCAGGAAGTGAACGGTAAACCTGACAGTACGAGACGAACCCGTTCACTGAGACGATGTCCTCCTCCAGAATCCAGACCAGCAGAGGAGGCCACCGAGGCCACGGAGACCAGCGGGGGGGTCACCGACCACAGAGAGACCCTGAGGGGCGTCTACACCGAGCACGTCTTCACCGACCCGCTGGGAGCTCAGCAGACGACAGAGACTCCAGTCGGCTACTCCCAGAGGTAACGTGAGGGGGCGGGGTCTGTTCTGTCTGACCAATAAGATCACAGAGTGACACCACTGGAGCGGGGGAATCTATCGAACATCACACCATCGGTCCCACCATGAAAAGCTGCCAAATAAACCACAGTTCATTCATAACACTGAACACACACCTGTAGTTTCATTTCTCCGGGTCGCCTGAAATCGTTAAGAGTGCGTACCGCACGGTTCAGTCCGACCCACGGCCCTTTGTTAAAGTTCTGGTAATGTGTTTGTTAGAGTAGTGTGTCTTTAGTCGTAAAGCTGTGACGGGGCTCGAACATGAACACCTGTCCTCTCTGCTGTGACCAGGGAGAGCGACCTGCTGAAAGATGGAGTCAGTTCAGACCCAGCGGCCGAGGACCAGGACCTGATGAGAGAGGAGGCTCAGAAGATGAGCAGCGTCCTGTCCACCATGTGGCTGGGGGCCCAGAACGGCTGGTGAGTCCGACGGTCCTCACGTGTTCACATGGTGTTTGTGTGGCGGATCAAATCAGCTGACTGATCAGAACCTCTCTGGTTCCAGTGTGTACGTCCACTCCTCCGTGGCCCAGTGGAAGAAGTGTCTCCACTCCATCAAGCTGAAGGACTCTGTGCTCGGCATCGTGTGAGTAAACGCCACATGTTAGTCCACCGTCAGGTTCTGGTTCTGAACCCTGTCACTGGTTCTGTCTCTGGTTCTGAACCCCGTCTCTGTCCCTCAGACACGTGAAGGGCCGGGTCCTGGTGGGTCTGTCTGACGGGACCTTGGCCATCTTCCACAGAGGAGTGGGTGAGTGGACTTTATAAAAACCCGGTGACGTCCAGCTGGTGTGTGTGTCGACTCAAGTCAGCGTGACGTGTGTGTGTGTGTGTGTGTGTGTGTGTGTGTGTGTGTGTGTGTGTGTGTGTGTGTGTGTGTGTGTGTGTGTGTGTGTGTGTGTGTGTGTGTCTCTGACAGACGGACAGTGGGACCTGACCAACTACCACCTGTTGGACCTGGGGAGACCACACCACTCCATCCGCTGTATGACTGTGGTCCATGACAAGGTGTGGTGTGGATACAGGAACAAGATCTATGTGGTGCAGCCCAAAGCCATGAAGATAGAGGTGTGTGTGTGTGTGTTCAGTGAATTTAAAGTGTGTGTGTGTGTGGGGGGTGGGGGGGTTGATATGTCCCCTCACGTCTCTGCCCTCATGTCCTCGTCCTCTGCAGAAGTCCTTTGACGCCCACCCTCGTAAGGACAGTCAGGTGCGTCTGCTGGCCTGGGACGGTGATGGGATCTGGGTGTCCATCAGACTGGACTCCACCCTCAGGCTGTTCCACGCTCACACCTTCCAGCACCTGCAGGACGTCGACATCGAGCCCTACGTCAGCAAGATGCTGGGTCTGTCCCATCACACCTGACCGGGTCTGACACACCTGCTCTGCTTCAGGTCTGGGTTCTAATCTGGTCTCTGTCCCTCCGTCTCAGGTACGGGGAAACTGGGCTTCTCGTTTGTGAGGATCACAGCTCTGATGGTTTCCTGTAACCGTCTGTGGATCGGCACCGGGAACGGAGTCATCATCTCCATCCCCCTGACGGAGAGTGAGCTCGCCATTACGCTTCTGTTGTCACACGTTATGATCCTAGAGAAGACCAGGTGTTAGACAGGTCCCACATTAAGGTGTCTCCTTCTCTGTTCCATCAGCAGCCAACAAGGCGACCAAGGCGGCAGGTAACCAACCAGGAGGTGTGGTTCAAGTGTACGGTGACGACAGCGGAGACAAGGTGACGGCCGGGACCTTCGTCCCGTACTGCTCCATGGCTCACGCTCAGCTCTGTTTCCATGGTCACCGGGACGCCGTCAAGTTCTTCACTGCTGTCCCAGGTAAACACTCAGGTGTTCATGTGTTCAGTCTGAGGGTGAAGTAAACAGTTGCTCTGAACAGCCACGCTGACTGTGTGTGTGTGTGTGTGTGTGTGTGTGTGCTCTCAGGTCACGCCGCCCCTTCCCCCTCGTGTGGAGACGCAGCAGGTGACAGGACGACAGACTCCGCCTCCTCTCAGGACGGATCCAGGTCCATGTTGGTGATGAGCGGAGGAGAAGGTTACATCGACTTCAGGATGGGTGAGTCCGCCACCGGCACCTGGTTCCTCCAGAACCTGAGTGACGTGGATCACAGTAGAGAACAGCTGTGTCTGTGTCTGCAGGTGACGAAGACGGCGAGGCGGAGGAGGGAGAGGACCCGCCCATGAATCTTCAGCCCTTCCTGGCTAAAGCCGAGCGCAGCCACCTCATCGTGTGGCAGGTCAATGAGGACTGACCTCTGACCTCTGACCCCTGAGGCCTGGTTTCCCTCTCTCAGACCTGCTGCCACGGAGGAGGAGTGCAGGTGAACGGCTCACCTGAACAGGCAGGAGTCTGATCAGCACTTTGTCCTCGCACCTGAACGATCAGTGTGAACCGAGCTACACCTGATCCGAGGCCCGGTTCTCAGGAGACCCGGTTCTCAGGAGACCCGGTTCTCAGGAGACCTGGACCGGAGCAGACTTCTTCTTTTATCTTGTTTTCTCTTTTTTAATTTGATGGATCTGAACATGAATCTGTTCTTTTAATATTATTTGAGGTTAAAGACAATAATTATGCTACACACCTGTCCTCCAGGTTCCCTCCACTCGGTCCAGACCCTGTCCTGATGCTGGACTGGTTCAGACCAGAAGATAATCACCTGTCACTTCCTGTTTGCCCTGTAATCATGTCAGACTGGGGCAACATGTGGGAGCCAATCACAGACCAGATTTCATGTCGATGTTTGTTTTCATCCTTTGAGAAGTTTAATCAGTTTAATCAGTCAGCAGGTGTTTGGGTCAGGATCTCACCTGGTCTGAGTCTCACCTGCAGGTGTCTCAATATACAACATTACAACATGTAACACTGCATTCAAGTCACAGAGCTGAAGAATCCTCCTCCTCATCATCATCATCATCATCAACCTCTCTGATTCTCTGTGTGAAGATGAAAAATCATAGTTTCATTTTAATTGAGAAGTTTTCAGATCAAAGATGGCCGCCGGAGACGACGCCTCCTCCTCAGTTTGTACAACATGAACCAGAATTAAAGATGTTCCTATAGATTTTTAGTATTTTCATATGAAACCAGCTGCTCATGTTTTATAAACAGACGAGGACGAGTCACTTCTGTCCGTCTGCAAAATAGTTTCAGTCACCCACGCACGCACGCACGTGCACGCGCACGTGCACAAAGTTTATGATGAAATTTTCATCCACAGAAAAACTGACAGAAAAGTAAAAGTTTTTTTTTAATTTGTTTTATTTGGATCCACAGCAGCTTCCACTCGGTCTCACCTGCTTTAGATTCTTCAGACTCTGTGACTTGACTGATGGTAACTGAGGTGTCAGCAGCAGACGCCTCCATGTTACTGCCCCCCCCCCTCCCCCCCTCCCCCTCATATAGATCTATAGAGGATGATATTTACTCTAACACCACTGGGGGGCGCCGTCGGCCTCTGTAGACTCTTTAAACTTTGCCTTAGCCCTGAAGCTCTGAACTCGTATTTATTCTCCTGAATGTTACGTTTGCTACCAAAGGTTCAAGAAATTAAAGATGGATGGTTGTTCACCTGCTGAAACAGTAACTGTCTCATCTAACAGCCGCTGTCAGCTGACAGTCCGTCTCCATGGAGACCACGTTTTTCTAACAGATCCTGGTGTATAGATCAGATATATTTTTAGACTTTGATATTTGGAGATGAAATATTTTCAGGGTGTGAGAGAAGAGGACGTGTTGTTACTGAGCGTGAACAAAGACCTGACCCCCCCCCCCCTCCTCCCCCCTCTGGTCCTGGTCCGGGTCCAGAGGTCAAACCCTCATCACTGATGTTCCTCAGTGATTTCTTCCTGATGATAAACTCATTATTTCACTAAATGTTTCAGTCCGTTTTTATGTTTTTGTCTTTTCTCAGAGTTCAGTTCATCACATGTTCACGTTGTTTTTGTGGGTCCAAGCAGCAACTGACGGCTTCTTCTTCTTCTCTGATAAAAGTGTTTGTACAGCGAAAACCAGAAAAGTAAAACTCACCTAAATCAGCAGGTGGGTGTAAATCACATCCACTGCACAAAATATGACACTAATTGACCTCAAGGTGGCGCTGTAATGACGCAGGTTACCTTTTCAGCTCAGTGTAAATTCCCTCAGTTCATCTGCAGCTTTCTTCCTCTGGTCTTCTCTCTAAAAGAAGTTAAATCAAAACAAACTGAGGTCGTTGATCTGATTTTCATGACGTCATCTTCATCATCTCCAGACGATGACAGAACGTTATCAAAAGAATTTAATGTCAATCTGTTTAGGAATTATATAATTTTATATGTCAATAAAATCAATTTGATGAATCTAAATTAAAGATAAATGTTTATATCTCATAATCAGCTACATGGATTCATACAACGTTTGGTTAAATATAAATCACCTGTACGTCTCCACAGGTCATCCACTGGATGATGATGATGATGATGATGATGATGAGCGTTCACCTCAGTCTGAGCTCTAGTTCTACACACTGTTATCACCTGTGTCTCCAGCAGCGTCTGCTCACACGAGATCCGTGTTTCAAACGCTGATTTGATCTGATGAACATTTTCTTTTCTCCATGTTCGATTTAAAGAAACAAAACGTTTCCTGATGCTCCTGAAACCAGAGGGATGATGTGTTTGATTATCACACCAACATTTAGACTGTGATGTCATCACCTCCACCTGTGTGAAGGTGTGTGTCGTCAGGTCAGAGGTCGAAAACCTCAGATGACTGACGTCCTGCTTTAGCAATAATATGATCATTAATTCACACGGTCTCTAAAGACTCGTCAGCTGCTTGGACCCGTTAATATTTACAGACTGTGTTTCTGCCTCTGTGTGTGTGTGTGTGTGTGTGTGTGTGTGTGTGTGTGTGTGTGTGTGTCTCCTCTTCAGGAGACTATTGCAGTTCAGCCATGTCAGTATTTATTGTAATGATTGACCTTTGACCTTTGCAGAATGTATCTTTGTACATTGAATATGAAAATATATAAATGGAGAATGACTGTGTTTTATAACTTACTCAGCTATGCACTATGTGTCTGAGGGTGGGGGGGGGGGGGGGAGGGGAGGGGGGGCTCAGTCAGCTTCCATCTCCAGCAGGACAAACTGAACTCTGGGAAACTTCATCCCATCATGACAGGATGGAGGAGTTTTCCCGCCCCCCTATTGCAGGTGTGCGTCATGCAGCAGGTCACACCTGTTCTTCTACAGCCTCTCTGCTTATTTTTAACACGCAATTAAAGAAACTTTTGTGGGCTGATGCTGTGTGTTGTTCTGTTTGTGACGAGCTGCAGGTTCATATGAAGACATCAGTTCACCTGTCACAGGTGAGACTGACGACTCTAACAACAGTCCTGACAGTGAGGCAGCATGAACAACAGCAGGTCCTGAGCCTGAAGCAGCTGAGTGGAACTCAGCCTTCATTTTATTTACACCAGCGAAAAAGGTCGACCTCTGACCAGGTGTTTCATAAAGAAACGTTACCTGTTGAACCAGTTAAACCTCGTTAACCCATTCTGTGAAGCAGCTTTAACCAGATCTGACTCTGGTTACCATGGTAATAAACCAGCTTCGTAATAGTTCGTCACTGATGAACGACGAAGGTTTATTGATAAATGTTTCTACACAGTCAACACGTGGTTCTAACGCTCTGCAGTTAGAGTTCGTTCATTAACTGTCACAAATAAATGAAACAAACACCATAAAACTATTGATTAAATATTCAGCAGCTGATATGAAGGTATTTATAAAACACTGGATCTATACAGATGTTGTAATGTCACTAAACTCTATAAAAGAATTTTACTTTCTGGAAAAATATTATCTCACGTCACTCATTTTACATTTCAAACATTCATTTTCCTGCTCTAATATTTGCGGTTTGTTTTTATCAGTTAATTTAATCCTGGCTCAGTTTGTCAGGTTCATCTAATTCAGGCTTTTCACAATAAGAGACTTTCCCTCAGCTCTGTTTATTACACTGTTGATTTGACTTTGATTATTATTTTGCAGCAGAGGCGTCGTCCTGTGTGTCTTGTCTTTTTCACGTTGTCATGATAAAACCTCTGCTTCATCTCAGCAGGTTGTGAACGCTCACTCGCTGAGAGGAGCTGTGACACAGACCCAACACCAGGTGGCAGACTTGACCCATAGTGTTGAACTGATGGGACTTTATTAGAAGGACAGAGACAGACACCGAGACTTTAACCTGTCCTCAGGATCTGAGGAGAACCAGGACTGTGGTGGAGCAGGAGCTGAGGTCATGTCAGCTGATGATCTACAGTTTTTAAAGAGATGATCCAACATCATTCTTTTCAGCTGCACAGAAACTTGTTTTTCATCCCAAAGATTAAATATCTGTCAGTGACATAAACTGAAACTGAAGAAGCCACATTGGACGGTCGGAGGTCGGAGGTCAGAGGTCGTCCTGTGATGAGGAACAGGTACATTTTTCTCTTTTCTAACTTTCAGTTTCACCTGAAGTTTGTTGGAACAGGAAGAGAAATAAAACAGTAGTAGATCATCGGTGATCTCAGTCGTGATCTTCAGACAGAACTGAACAGATTTAGTTTCACTTCTATAACTTTGTCAGGTCTGAACAGTGTTGACAAAACCTGTTACTTACATCACCCACAATGCACCTTGACAGCAGACGGTTTGGTCAGAGGGTCGCTTGTGTTTAACTGCACTGTAGCATGCGGCTAATGTCACCTGGGCTTGAGCCACCTAACATGGGTGGAAATGTGGAAACTGCCACAAGCTCCAGCCTCATGAAACCTCTGGTCCAACATCTGTGTGGGTCCTCGGCCCGGGTCTGGTCCATATACCCCCACATCTGGGCCGATTCCAGCTGTTGTCCAGGACATTTACAGTCTGCTGAGGGATGATGTAACAGAACAGGTGTTCACACAGAGAGAAATCCTGGATCCACTAATACTAATGTCTGTTTATAGAAACCTGAGCTGCAACAGGTGTGTGTTGTGTGTTGTGTGTGTGTGTGTGTGTGTGTGTGTGTGTGTGTGTGTGTGTGTGTGTGTGTGTGTGTGTGTGTGTGTGTGTGTGTGTGTTCGACTTTGCTCAATCCCACGTTTTCACCCCAACAACACAGAAACAACTGCTCACTGAGATTCACCCTCTCCTCCAGATAGATGCATGCAGGATGAGTAACTCACACACACACACACACACACACACACACACACACACACAGAGCGCAGAGGAGAAACAGAACACACACTGATGTGTGTTTGTGCAGCCTGTCATCTGCTCTGTCATCTCTTCACACAGTTGTCCCTGGTGCAGGACAAACACACAGCTGGAGTCCCCTCTGCTACACACACACACACACACACACACACACACACACACACACACACACAACCTATTTCTGTCCTCATCATCGCTCTCTGTTCTCTGATGATGTGAGGACTCCCTCCCTCACCAAAGGGTTTTTCAGAGGTCACTTCCTGTGCATCCTGCCATCAAGTCCAGCTCAGTCCTCATCTGGATCCAGATCCAGTCTGCCGGCTCCATCATCCTCCTCCCTCGTACTTCAGCGACATTGTGACATGGAGGGTTGACACCTGTGTTTACATTATGTGAAGTTTACTGATGAGATGAGGATGAAGAGAGAGAGAGAGAGAGAGAGAGAAATTTGTATTGTAAGTATTTTGAGAAGCAGAGCCAGAGGGTGAGATGAGTCACCCCTCCCTCCCAGATGCACAGGGCTCAATGGGGTCTCACACAGCCTGCACACATACACACACACATACACACACATACACACACACACACACACAAACACAAACCCACAGCAGTTGCACTCTGTCAGCTGCTGGTGTGACACCCATGAGTCATCAATTGTCATGTGACCATCTAATAGTGCATCACATGACCACGAAGCACAAATACTATATCTGTCCAGGTCACTGTGGTCAGTCAAAACGAGCCTGTACCGTTTATAGATATTGTTTTCAGCCTTATTAAAGCAGCTGTTTGTAAGTTTTACTACTACTAACGTTAGCATTAGCATCTGTTTACTTTAAGACCTTCACCATCATTGTGTTTACAAGACAAGAGGTTATAATACGTCCTCTGAGCAGCTACTTCTGGACAGACTGGAGGCCAAAGTGATGTGACAGGGCT